TGAATGACAACGCCCCTGAACTGACCATGTCGACTCTCACCAGCTCCACCCCAGAAAATTCCCCTGAGACCACGGTAGCTCTTTTCAGTATTCAAGACCGAGATTCCGGGGAAAATGGAAGAATGGTTTGTTCCATTCAGGATGATATTCCGTTTGCGCTGAAACCTTCCGTTGAGAATTACTACAGGCTGGTAACAGAAGGAGCACTGGACAGAGAGACGACAGCCGAGTACAACATCACCATCACCGTCACCGACTTGGGGACGCCCAGGCTCAAAACCGAGCACAGCATAACCGTGCAGGTCTCCGACGTCAACGACAACGCCCCCGCCTTCACACAAACCTCCTACACCCTGTTCGTCCGCGAGAACAACAGCCCCGCCCTGCACATCGGCAGCGTCAGCGCCACAGACAGAGACTCGGGCGCCAACGCCCAGGTCACCTACTCGCTGCTGCCCACCCATGACCCGCAGCTGGCCCTCGCCTCCCTGGTGTCCATCAACGCGGACAGCGGACACCTGTTCGCCCTGCGCTCGCTGGACTACGAGGCCCTGCGGGCGTTCGAGTTCCGCGTGGGCGCGGCAGACAGAGGCTCCCCCGCGCTGAGCAGCGACGCGCTGGTGCGCGTGGTGCTGCTGGACGACAACGACAACGCGCCCTTCGTGCTGTACCCGCTGCAGAACGGCTCTGCGCCCTGCACCGAGCTGCTGCCCAGGCAGGCCGAGGCGGGCTACCTGGTGACCAAGGTGGTGGCGGTGGACGGCGACTCGGGCCAGAACGCCTGGCTGTCGTACCAGCTGCTCAAGGCCACGGAGCCCGGGCTGTTCGGCGTGTGGGCGCACAACGGCGAGGTGCGCACGGCCCGGCTGCTGAGCGAGCGCGACGCGGCCAGGCACAGACTGCTGGTGCTGGTCAAGGACAATGGCGAGCCGCCGCTGTCGGCCACCGTCACGCTGCACGTGCTGCTGGTGGACGGCTTCTCGCAGCCCTACCTGCCGCTGCCGGAAGCGGCGCCGGAGCAGGCGCAGGCCGACTCGCTCACCGTCTACTTGGTCATCGCGTTGGCCTCGGTCACCTCGCTCTTCCTGTCCTCGGTGCTCCTGTTGGTCGCGGTGCGGCTGTGCAGGAGGCGCGGGGCGGCGTCGGAGGGCCGCTGCTCGGTGCCTGGGGGCCGCTTTCCGGGCCACCTGATGGACGTCAGCGGTACGGGGACCCTGTCCCAGAGCTACCAGTATGAGGTGTGTCTGATGGGAGAGTCAGGGACAAATGAGTTCAAGTTCCTGAAGCCAATTATCCCCAATGGTCTGATTCAAAATACGAAGCAGAACTAGATCAAAATTTCCATTCCATTAATTGCTTGTGTTTCATTAACAGAAGAATGAAAAATTAGATTTTAGCTATGAAAATTTTTTTTAAATCAAGAATCTTCAATTAATATAACATTTTGTTTATGTATTGATTTTACTTTATATGTTGTTAGTTTGTTAATCCGTGCATATTTTTTTTCTTCTGCTTCAGTCGTAATGCCTCCTTTTCTCTTCTAGTAGGCAAAAAAATAAATTTATTATAATGGTAATTTCAAATAGGTTTAAGTAACTCATTTTAAATTCTATATTTCAAAGCAATGTAGAGAGAGTTCCAAACCCCAATTTTATAATTTATTTTGTTTTATATATCATATACAGTGTGCTTTATAATTTTCCTAAAGCAGCTCTGTCTGTGGTTAATCAAGTTTGAAGATAAATAAGAATGTGTTTTCTTTAAGATTAGTAATGTACCATCTTTTCTAGGGGTATAGTACTCAAATAAAAGTAATACATTTGGTTCATTTTCTGTATTCATACTTGCAATTAATATTTGATATTGTGTATGCTTATATTGACCAAAAATTAACAAAAAATATAGGGTAATACAGTAAATTACACTTAGGTTCGCCTAACACATATACACGATGAGTGAGGAAAAAAAATTAAGCCTAAGCCATTTTAAACAACTGATTGTGCTTTTCCATTTGGCACAAAAGCTTTGTTTAGTAAAGCATCTGGTGGGATGATGATTTGATTAGTAAATTCTGAGGTGTAAATGTTATCAACCTGAGGGCCATATTTTTTTTTTAAATTTCAAGAAAGTGCATGGATATATGATCTCTAAATGCTTTATGGTAAAAGTAGTGTCTCATCCAGTACTAATTATTAATACCTACTTGCCATTTATATGGTGATTTAGGAATTTTTTTTTTCTTCTTCTCATCCTGGTTCTCTCCTTCAAATTTCACCCTGACATGACTTAGAATTACATGTGGTCTTTCTGGGATAAAAACTGTCCATCTTCTTCAGCATTTTATCTGCTACATTGTAATTAAATGATGTACAAGAATAGGAAGTTCTGAAGAGAAGAGAGAGCAATGCCTTTATGAAAGTCTAAATTAGCTACAACGAAGAATAAAATCTGGAAGCAATCAAAGCATCAAATCTCATGACTATTTTGAGTGAAACAGAAAAACTTATTTTTAAGTAAAAACACCTTAGTCACTAAGTAGAGAAATTTATTAGGAAAAAATAAATTTTCTCCTCATAGGTATTTCCTCATAAAGAGAAAATTTTCCAGGAATCAAGTACTTATGACTAGAAGACAGAGAACTGAAGTTCTCAAAGATTTTGAAAATTCCCAAAAGAAAAGGAATTTAAGATTGACATATCTTCAATCACATGTTAAAATGTAGTTATAATTACATTAAAATGATGTCATTTTATGTAAGTGAGCATCAAATGAGTGAATCCTTAATAGAAAGAGGAAAAATAATATTTCCTTTCATTCTAAGTTCCTTATAGAGATGTTTGAATCTGGTTCTTTTGGTCAGGAATTTTTCTTCTTTTCATGCTTAGCTGAGTTCCATGAAGATCAGGAAAATATTAAAGAATTCTGATCAAGATTTATTTTTATTTGGCTCCCTATGTCCCAGGTAGTTTCAGAGCCAGGGAAGTATTTGATTGTCGAAAGTACAGAGGCCAGTTATTTTGTGGAATCAATATGGCTTATGATCTGAAACTAAAGTTTGAAGGGTTAAATGCTAAGAAGCCATTTAGATCCTGAAGATAGAAGAACAGATATTATTAATAACTTAGTTTGTGGATGGACTAGATTTACGCATTGCCAAGAAAGTGAACAGAATTTAACAAAGTCAGAAAAGGTAACCTGAACTAAATTTGAAGCTAGAAGACAGTTATATATTACTCTTAGTTGCTTTTATTTCTGGGCAGTCAGAAATATTTTACCCTTTTGTTTGAAGACAATTTCCAAAAACTTCTTTATCTGGATATTTCATTAAATACAGGACAGAGAGGGTACCACATGTACAGTACTATTGTTGCCACTTTTTGGAATTTCATAAACTGAAAGTCTGGCACAAGGTAAAGGGGATGACTTTGTATATTAATAATATTCTAGTAATTTTTCTTCCACAAGGGCTGATAAACCCATTACTGTGAGTTATTTATAAATTGATCTCACTGACATTTTAATTTTCAAAAGTAAGATAAATTAAAGAAAAATTTGAACCCTTCACTCCAGAAATAATGAAATGACCTTTAGAATCTAATCAGCTCAAAAGTAGAGTCCATTTCTGTTTCATTCATAGCTGCATTTCTAGCACATAGCACAATGCTTCATACATAATAGATGCTCAATTTATCTTTGTTGAATAAATACTTTAAAAATATTTGTGAAATCAATGAATTTTCTTAAGACTTAAGGACTTGTTTACTTCGAATTGATCTGCACATTGAATTTCAAAAGACCTATCTGGATTCACATAGGGGTGGGATTCACATAAGAGAATAATTCCAATCTCCATTGAGCTAATTAATTATTTAATGGTCTCCCTTGGCTGGTTGAGACTTCTGGAAATTCAGAGAACTGTAAAACAATGTATTAATCTCCAATTTGGCTCCAAATTGAGCTTGCTCACATCTTTGATTTCAGGGATGAAAAAAAAATTAAATACAAAATTTTCTGTCCATCAGATTAACTTTCTGAAATCTGTATTTAAATTCCCTGCCCTCTAATTGGTGCTTTTATTGAACTTTGGCTAGTCTTTGTGGTATCAAAATTCAAAGAAATTTGTAAGATCCCAAAAGCTTAAAAAATCTTTCAAATAACCAATCATTCATTTATTTTTAAAACATAATTCTAAGTAGTATTCAATCTCCCTCTTTTTCTCTCTAAAAACATCAAATCAGGAATAATTTAAATAATTTCTTGACGATCAGAATCTAGTTTTTAACACTGAAAAGCAAAGAGATAAGGCATTGTTATAAGACTAAGCCATCTTCAAATATAAATAATTAAAACTAGTGAAGTAACTTACAATACTTTTAATAAACCTTTCTTAATCTTTATATGTTGTTTCCTTGCAAATGAGAACTTTTAAAAAATATAACAGTTTTTCCTGTATATCCCACTACTTTATTCTGGGAGTATCTTTTGCTTCTTAGAGTAGATCATTAGATTTTTTTAAAAGCAAGGATCAATTAGTCATAATTCAGAGTTATTTTTATGTCACACATATATGGTTAATCAATAGTTTGGTTGATCATAGATTTAAATTTTTTAATTCATTTTTCTTCTGTTCTTTGGTATTAACATTGTTGATGAAAAGTATGATGTTAATCTACTTATTCTTTTATCTGTAAACTTCATTATTCTCCTTTAGATTTTTTTCTTTATTCATGATGTACTGATATTTGCTAGGCCCCAACCTGAGATTCACTACATATATGGCTTTTTTTTTTTTTTTTTTTTTTTAGTAACTATAATTTTCTTTTTCAAAATTTCCATTTGGAAGTTTTATACAACAACTTGTTCTTATTTCACAATTGCTATTTCCTTCTTTAATGTTTGATTAAAGTAAATGTTTTTAAGTTCTTTTTATATTGTTCTGAATCTCTTTGTCTTATGGCAGAGAAACACCGCTTTTATTTGTTGAATCTCTTTTCATGTGTTTGTCTTCCTCAGATGGTTGGTAATATTTTATTGAGAACTTATCTCCAGCTGGAGGTTTTTATCACACTAGCATTGGTTTTGATAGTCTTGGAGAAGGGAAGAAGGAGAAGAGGGATTCTCAAGGTAGTTTCAACTTCAGCCTCTGCAAAATCCAAGCCATAACTAAGAAGCTTAACTCAACTTTGCCACACAAAAGTGGAAGTTCTGTACCAACCTCTATAGATGTGTTTGAGCTGGACCCCAGGCTTGGGTGGCACTGCTCTGCATTTGCTCTATGAAGCAAAAATTTCAGAGAATGTCACCTTCTGCTTCTTGGTCATCACAGTGTCTTCTAAGGCTGTAGACATGGGAGCTAAGGGAAAAATTTTTACTTTTTAATCTTCAGAGTAAACAAGCTGATTTTGAGAAAAAATAAATTGTAACAAGTAAGTGATGCATAGGGACTACATGGAAAAAGTCATGGTCTTGATTCAGATAACAAATATGCATGATAGTGCTTAGAAACAGAGTAACATAATACATGATTTTTTTCTGAACTAGTGGGGTTTTTGTTTGGTTTTTTGTTTGTTTGTTTTTAGAAAATTGTGTGGGACTCTGGAGATAATGCAAAATTGGCTTGCTTCTTTCAAGACAGTCTCCTCATGAAACCATCTGTCAAAAATTGCTATTCTGGTAACACAGAGGTCAGGGCTGAGCACCATCTCTGTCACCAGGGTGGGATCCTACATGCAGAAATACAGCACAACACAACGTTTGTCAACAATTCCCTGACCCTCCACACCTCATGTACCTTATTAGCCTTTAATAAAAACAGTCCTACCCTGCACATTGATAGCATCAGTGCCAAAAACAGAGACTACCTAGGGACTAACAGCTAAGTCATTTTCTCACTGCTGTACAAGGACATATACCACAACCCTCTCAAGGTCTCCATCAGCATGGGCAATGGAATCTGTATGCTTTGATGTCCCTGGTTTTTGAGGTTCGTGATGAATTTGAGTTCTAAAAGTGTTTGGAGCTCCCTTGAGTTGAGCATACAAAGTTATAATTAGACAGGAGGAATAAATTACAAATATTTGAAGTGATATATGTGTAAATTAGCTTGGTCAATCATTCCACATTTTATACATATGTCACAACTTTGTACTCCACATATATATATATAATTTGTCAATATATAATAAAAGAAAAGAAAAAAAAAAGAAAATTGTCCCTAAGGAGACCCAGATATTAGACTTACTAGACCATAACTTATCAAATATGTACTAAGAACTAAAGAAAATGTAGAATATAAATAAAGAGATGGAATTATTTTAAAAAAACAACCAAACTTGAAACTTTAGAGTTAAAAGTATAATAACTAAAATGAAAAATTTATAGAGGATTTCAATAGCAGATTTAGACAGGAAGAAGAAAAGATCAGTAAACTCGAAGATAAATAAATTAAGATTATCCAGTCTGAGGAACCAAAAGACAAACAAATTAAGAAAATGAAGTACCACAGA